TCTAGTCCTTGTCCCTGGGCTGGTGTGCCCCTTTAGTCTCGTTTTGTTTTATGGGCCTGTCTAATCTTTGGCTGAAGGGTGAACCTCAGGAGGGACTTCATTATTGAGCTGTAAGTGTCCCAGGGCCATACTCTCGGAGTTTCTCCAGTCTCTGTCAGACCAGTAAGTCTGGTCTTTTTTTGTGTGTGCGTGAGTTAGAATTTTGTTCTACATTTTTCTCCAGCTCTGTCCAGGACTCTCTACTGTGATCCCTGTCAGAACGGTCGTCCACTCGTGCATTTTTTACAAACAGGTCAATTTTTTTTTGCATTTTTAAAAATTTTGGTGAAAATATACATACCAAAACATTTGCCAATCCAACAATATCTACATGTATAATTCAGTGACATTGATTACATTCTTCACATCGTTCAACCATTATCAGTAACCTTCTCTAAGCTATCCCACCAGCATTAACCTAAACTCAATACCTTCTAAGCAAAAACTCCCCCTTCCCCCTTCCCTCTTATCCCTGGTAACCACTAATAATCTTTTTTTCTATATACTGGATTATCTCATGTAAGTGAGATTCAGCATGCCAACTTTTCAATAGCTTTATCCAGTCATAATTTACATACCATACAATTCATCTATTTAAAGTATACAAGACAATGGTTTTGCATATTCACAGATACATGCAACCATCACCAAATTTAGAACATTTTCATCACCTCAAGAAGAAATCTTGTACACTTTAGCTATCATCTTCCTAAAAAAAAAAAACTGTTGCCGTAGAGTCAATTACAACTCATAGCCACCCTACAGGACAGAGTAGAACTGCCCTATAGGGCTTCCCTGGTGGCACAGTGGTTAAAACGATCAACTGCTAACCATAAGGTAAACCCACCAGAGGCTCCATGGGAGAAAGATGTGGTAGCCCGCTTCCATAGAGATTTACAGCCTTGGAAACCCTAGAGGGGCACTTGAAAGGTGTCAACATGGAAGAGATCAGAGCTGACAGGCCAAGACTGGCCTCCGGGTGTTACTCAAGCTCCTGAAACCAGGTGTGCTTGAAGCCAGCCACCGTGAAGATTTTTCACTCAGGGAAGCCAATCACCTCCTGGTTTTGCTGAAGGCAGGTGCACCTGAGTTTTCAGGCTCTAGAAACAGAAAGAGGGTGAGCTAGATATGGCATCAAAAGCATGAGCAACAAAAGACAAAACAGATAAATGGGACCTCACAAAATTAAAAGCATTTGTGCACCAAAGAACTTTATCAACAGGGTGAATGAGAAAAAATGTTTGGGAGCCATATATCTGATGAAGGTTTAATACTCAGGACATATAAAGAACATCTACAGCTCAACAATAAAAAGACAAACAACCCAGTCAAAAAAATGGGCAAAGTCCCCCGAAACTATGTCTCCCGAACACTCTGTTAACCCAGAACTGAAACCATTCCTAAAGCCCACTTTTCAAAGATTAGACAGGTCTATAAAACAAAAACTAACATGGGAGGAACGTGCTTCTTAGTTCATTCAGGTATATGAGACCATATGGGCCACTTCTGTCCAAAAGCAGTATGAGAAGGCAGGAAGGGACAAGAACTGGATGAATGGAACCAGGAAACCCAGGGTAATAAGGGGGAGAGTCCTGTCACATTGTGGGGATTGCAACCAATGTCACAAAATAATCTGTGTATAAATTTTTTAATGAGAAATTAACTTGAGCTGTAAACTTTGACCTAAAGCACACACGCACACACACACACACAAAGGGGCAAAAGACTTGAATAGACATTTCTCCAAAGAAGATACATGAATGGACCACAGGCATGTGAAAAGATGCTCAGTGTTGTCAGTCATTAGGAAGATGCAAATCAAAACCACAGTGAGATACCATTTCACCCCCACTAGGACGGCTATGATCAGGAAAACAGAAAACAGCAAGTATTGAAGGGATATGGAGAAATCAAGACCCTCATCCACTATTGGTAGGATTGTGAAATGGTGCAGCCGCCAAATTGAGAAACAATTTGGTGGTTCCTCAAAAAGTTAAACATAGAATTACCATCTGATCCAGCAATTCCACTCCTAGGTATATACCCAGAAGACCTGAAAGCAGGGACTCAAATGGATACATGATCACCAATGTCCATTGCAGCACGACCCACAACAGTCAAAAGGTGGAAAGAACCTAAGTCCATTCACAGATGAATGGATCAGCAAAACGTGTCAATATGCATACGATGGAATATGACTCTGCCATAAAGAGAAATGAAGTCCTGAGACATGCTACAACATGGATAAACCTTTAAACATTACGCTGAGTGTAATAAATCAGATACAACAAATATTGTATGATGTCACTTCTGTGAAGTACCTGGCACAGGCAAATGCACAGAGACCAAAGTTTATTAGTGGTTACCAGAGGTGGATAGCTTGGTAAAGTAGAGGGTCAGTGAAAAAGAGGAAGACCCGCGACAAGATGGACTGACACAGTGGCTACAACAATGAGCTCAAACATAGCAACGATTGTGAGGATGGCGGGGACTGGGCAGTGTTTCGTTCTATTGTACGTAGGGTCGTTATGAGTTGGAATCAACTCAACCGCACACAACAACAACAGGGCTGGGTGGGAGGGGAAGAGGGAGGGCACTGCCGAAGGGGCATTGAGTTTCTGTTCTGGGGTGATGGAAACGTTTTAGGAATAGATAGTGGTGATGGTTGCACAACATAGAGAATGTAATTAATGTCACAGAATCGTACACTTAAAAAGATTGAAATGGCAAATGTTTTGTTGTATATTTCTTTTACCACAAAAAGAAAGAAAGAGAGAGAGAAAGGAAGGAAAGAAGGGAGAGAGAGGAAGGAAGGGAGAGAGAGGAAAGAAAGAAGGGAGAGGAAGGAAGGGAGAGAGAGAAAGGAAGGAAGGGAGAGAAAGGAAGGAAGGAAGGGAGAGAGAGGAAGGAAGGAAGGGAGAGAGAAGAAGGAAGGAAGGGAGAGAGAGAAAGGAAGGAAGGGAGAGAGAGGAAGGAAG